TCCTAAGAAACAGATTTACTGTGGATTAGAGAAGAGCTACCGTTACATTAGGGTCCTATTAGGGCACCTATTAGAGCCCCTACATTATATATATTAGGTGTGTATAAGCACCTATATAATAGTAAGCTACTACTAAGCTCTCTATAAGGAGGTAGTAATAATTCTATCTTTATAAAAATATAAAAGAGATTATTATATAACTAGAGTCCTCTAAGCGAAGCACCTTATAATAATAGACTCACTAAAAGTTATCTAAAACCTATATAACTAATAAAAGTAAAGTAAAGTAAAGTAAGTAATCTAAGAATAGAGTAGAGAGAAAGATAGATATATAAAGAAAGGGATTTCTAGTAGATAGTTAGACTAGATTTCTACTAATTAATCTAAATAATAGTTCTACTATACTCTACTATTAAGAGATATCTTTTAATAATCTAAATAATAACTCTACTATTAAGAGATATCTTTTAATATAACTTACATTATAATAACTACTTATTAGTACTCTATATATTTAAACTAACTCTCTTTTTAAAAAATAGACGTACTATAGAGTAAGGATTAAGCTACTATTATATAAAAGTTTCTAATCTAATTTATATACTATTTAAATAAACTAATTAATCTCTATTCTACTATTTAATTCTTAAATACCTTTAATAGTTTATTTAATATTAGTTATACTAGTTAGAATAAAGAGATAAAGCTAGTATAATTACTTTAATAGATTAAATATACTCTAGTCTAAAATATAAGAGAAATTCAAGTAAGTAAAATTATATATAACTAAAAGGACACTTAAATTAGTCTTATCACTAGATTATCCTAGTACCCCTCTAATAACCTCTAAGGAGGAAAAAGCCAAGGTACTATTAAAAAATCCCCCCCCCCCCCCCCGGCGGAACTGACAGTGACAACATGGACGTGTGTGTTAAAAACGTCACAATAATCATTAACCTGACGCGTTCTCCACGTCATAGCGGTTCTACAAACCAGGGAAGAAGATCCACGAAAATAACTCTATAGCGCTCTTCAGCACCTGCGTATTTTGATTCTGATCGGTCAAGGCGCACAATGCGCAATAGAAAATCAATGATGGTACATACTGTTCAAGGTACTTGGATTTTAGTGGTGTTTCTTAGTACACTAATGTACTGCTGCAATTCACAAAATACTAACGAGTACACTGAGTTTAGGCAAGAATCCCTGTATTTCTGCACTGATGATGTACGCCCCCCGTCAGTGGGCAAAAACACCTGGAGCGCCTCCACACGGGATGGTTACTGTATCTGCCCTGGCTCGGCACTAGCGAGTGCCACACTCCGAATGTTACCCCAGAAGGATCCCCCGTGGGGATGCTCCAATAGTTAGTTAGTATGAAGGCGTATGTAACTATAACTACGTTAGTAGGTGCCTCATAATAAAATAACACCCACTTACATAGGCCCACCCCAGCTGATAGCAGCCTTGGGGGGGGGGGGGCTATATAGAAGCATTCCATAGACGCTTCATATAAACATTTTTCGCTTGCTTTTTAGACAGCCAAGTTTACAGGTGAGTTGATGCTATTAGCTGCCAGGACGAAAACCAGACGCTGTTACTAACACGCAGCAGTTGACAAAATGAGGGTTACGATTGCTACGACCTACATGCTGGCCACGCTGGCTGTGGCTCAAAGCCGCGAGTCTCTCCCTGACTGCTCTCTTTCCTGCCTCGACGAGTCTACGGCACTCAACAGCAATTGCGCCGCCGACAACTTTGGATGCATCTGTAGTAACTTCAACGTTATCCACGGAGCTGCGACGGGATGCATCATGAGGGCGTGCGGCTCTGAAGTCGCCATGGGTATGTCTCGACGATTACTCCTCTCTTGGGGCTTGGAGCCATCACTTACACCATCGTTCTAGGTCAATTCTTGCCAGCTATTGTCAACATTTGCAAGACAATCGATACGAGCGGGTTCGACGACACCAAGTACTTTCCAGAGCTAAAGCGCTCAGCAAGCATCACCGTCTTTCCTCTTGAGTCACCAAGCATCACCGTCTTCCCTCCGGAGCCGGAGAACACGGCCACGGCGCCCGCCACAAAGTCCACATCCTCGGGCAGTGTTGGGATACCCAACCCAACGACCAGTATTGTGTCGCCGACTGTTGTCACTGGTGAAGCTTTTCAACCCCGGCTTGTGCACAGCTGGGTGGTGCTTCTTGTTGGAGTCCTGCTTCTATGGTGAGGACTCACAGCCAAGACTGATCGACGTCGTTGCAGCCGCGCTTTTCCAACCCCCACTTGGACAGTCGGGCGGTATTTCTTATTTGGGTAGTGCTTCTGATTAGAGTTTGGTGCTGCTTCCTATTAGAGTCCTGCCTCTGCGGTGATTGGGCCCACAGGCAAGACTGGTCGACGTCGTATGTACGGCCGAGCTTTTGTTTTTAGGTTCCCTTTGGTGGAGCTTGAATTAGACTGTTAAAAGGCGGGAAATCACTGGATTTTATTACACAGGCCAAGCTGCGCCCTAGTATTCCAACACGATGGACGAGAGGGCAGTCCACAGATAACGGGACATTCCCTCTACTATAAGCTGCTTAAACTACTACTAGTCCTAGTCTCTCATTTACTTATATATCTATGTATTTTACCACAATTCGGCTTACTCTCCTTTTTTGGAAAGTTGTCCATTAGCTGTGTGTGGGTATAGAGGCGTATGGAGGCGCATGGAGGCGTATGGAGGCGTATGAAGGATAAGGATTTTCAGGTTCATCCCAAAAGTGTGAAACAGTAGTAGAGTGAGTGGCTGGTTGGAATAAAGTGCCACCATACGATAATCAGCCGCCTCCCAGCGCCACGCCCTAGTTCTTGGGATGAGGCCATATCACCACTTTCGGCTCTCGGCTCACCCAGAATCCAGAATGCCGAGGATGGGCTGCGGCCTGGCTTGTGAGAATAGGATGCAATACAAATGCGTCTTGTTTGGAGTGCGCAGGCATCTGCTCCTAACAACTGCACATGCCGGCGTTGCTCCCCAGGGATTTGCTTACATCATGCGGCCAATGAGAGCTTCATGCGCCCCTCGGCTCCATGTCGTGATCACCATTGGTGTGATTTTACTTTGCCTTATATGCATCCTTCTTCTCAGAGACGCTCCTGACGCACAATATCGGGGCAATGGCCACGAGAAGCTGACGCAGGCTGATGACCCTGGCACCGCCATTTTAGCATATCCCTACTCGCCGCCGCCACGCCGGGACTTTACGTCGCTATCGAAATACCCTGCCCACAACACTGATGAGCCTACAAAATATGCGTATTCCACGCTGTATTGCAGCCGCGAGCCCGACTTACGCGATCCTTATTTTGAGACTACGCAGTCCATCATTTGGCGCATACTGTGGTCCGATTTTCGGTCCAAGTATCCAATCATCGTGTTCGTGTGTCCCTTTATCCCCGAACTCCTGAGGCGCATATTGCGAGGGCAGGGCGCAATTGTGAAGACGATACCGTTGCTCGACAATATCATACCTGATGAAGCTATACCAACGAAACGATGGATAGACGTCCTATCGAAACTCCACTTGTGGAGTCAGATGGAATGGAGGCGCCTGGTATTCCTTGATTCAGATGCATTTCCTGTTGCCAACATCGATGAGTTGTTTCGGCTGGCGCCAACGCAGAGATGCAAGGAGGGTGATCTTGACCTAGAGGATAAAGCTGCGGTTGCCAAGGCATCCGGCGACGAGAACATGTGCAATTACGTCTACGCAGGTGTCGCCCAGTTCTCGCCGGAGAATATCAACGCTGGCGTTTTGGTCTTGAAGCCGAATCGGGACCTGCATGCGAAGCTCCTCCGAGCCGCCAAGCAGACGGCTGACTATAACTTTGAGGACATGGAGCAGGGGATCTTAAAGTCAAAGAATGCCTTTGCAATCGACGGGCCGTTTCCCGTCACCAGACTGCCGCCAGCATGGAATACCGTGCCAGAGTACTACTTGAAGTATCTGAAGAGCGGCGAGGGAGAGATTGGAGGCCCTGTCAAGATTCTCCACGTCAAGATGTGGAGTAGATTCTGGGGACAATGGAACAATCTGACGCAGCTGAACGATATGTGGGATTTAGATTGGATGAAAATGAGTCGCTTCTATGACTCGGCTCGCTTTGAGGACGCTAGGCGAACAGGCATATTCAGGGAACTATGGGAGACAAGCGAGCACATAAGATAGCCTTGGCTAAATAATGTACAATATAATATCCTCTCTCACATCCTCTAGTCCAAAAGCATGATCCTATGACCGACATGGGGGGGTTTCCGAGCTCGGCGTGTCCGATACTTTGGCAAATGTCGAACCCTGCATCCGCGCCGCTCACTGAGTGGGCAGGGTAATTTATGAACAGCTGCTGAGAACTGGCCAATATTTCCAGACTCGGACATTCTCCGTTTCCATGCAATCACATGGCATAGATGGAGCCGACAAGCTGTGGTGGCTAGGTTGACGACGTCGAGAACTAGCGTGTTGACGCCACCATGTTTGACGATGCTCTACCAAGTAGGCCGATCACTTCTCCATTGCGCCACAAGCAGCTAATTATGTGGAGGCTGAACAAGTGCGTGCATGTAATAAGGTGTGTAAATTGGATAGTCCATAACAGGTTCACGAGGGTGCTCTCTCGACGCTGTTTAATACATGCATTGTAATATATATTCCGCCAATCTATATTTTAGGGCGTGTGGCCGCAGTCTTTTCTAACGTCTTGCTGTAAACCCAGCTGGCAAACTTGACGCTTGGTTTATCCACAACCCGCGTGACGACATTTGCGATGTAGAGGGTCAGGGGAAGTAGAAACAAGTTTGCGAGGAGGAACGAAAGCTCCAGGCCGACAGGACCGGCTTTGGATACTGGGATTATTCCGACCCAACCGGGAATGTGCTCAAGGTGTGCCTTGGAGCTGATGCCGAAGACGGCGTACAGCCGATCACCAATGGTCCAGAGAACGGGCCCGTGGACCAGGTATAAGGCAAATGAGACGCGGCCGAGATACTGGCAGACTCTTGTCTCAAAGAACCGCCGCAACCAGCTGAGATGCCTCACGCACGGCATGAGAAGAACCGCGGCCCAGAACAGGAAGAACCACTTGTAGTCAAAGACGGCCTGGGGCTTGAGGAAGGAAAGGAGATACCAGCCACGGTTCTTTGCGAGCTGCTGTATTTCGCGGTTCTCAGAGGGCACACCGCCGAGGTATATGCTGATGACTAGCATATGATAATACATGAAGGTCTTGTGCGGCTGGAGTCGGACCAAGATCGACGGCAGGCGGCCCAGGCTAGCCAGGTGGTCCATGTGGCTCAGCAGCATGCCTGCCATGAACATTGCACAGTACCAACCATCCGCAATGTACATGAAGTATCCCACCAGCGCCAGTTGGCACCACACACGGGCCTCCGCGCTGCAGCGGGAAAACGCCAGCAGGGAGCCAAAGACGACCAAGGAGCCCTTGAACTCGGCAGCGATAGACCAGACGTGCATGTTGTAGCTCATCCACGGCACGCCACCTTCTTTGAACGGGTAACTGAAGTTTTTGAACTCGCAGTACAAAAACCACATCTCGTCGAACCACGTTCGCTGCGGGGAGGATTCGTCGACCCAGAGACCAAAGACGTGCCAGACGGTGGCATACACTATCAGTGTAGCCAGCACAGGCAGAAACAGGCGTGTCCAGCGGCGGAAAATGGACGAGGCCAGGTGGTCCACGAGACCATGCATGTCGTTACTCTCAATCAGCTTGTGCCCCTTGATGGACAAGACGTAGCCGGATAGGACAAAGAAGATGGAGACGGCAAAGTGGCCACCCGAGAACAAGATGCGAATGCCGGGCAGCGCGACAAAGTGGTGCTTGCCCTCGTAGCCGAAGCTGTTTTCGAAGATGCCGTTTTGGTTCCAGCGATGCATGTTATGAACCCATAATTCGTGGTGGTGCCAGTAGACGATGAGAGCCGCGAAGCCGCGCAGTCCATCGAGGTAGGCTGTCTTGTGCAAGTTGCTCGGGCGAGACCATGGCTGCAATGTCCATTGCGGCCGCAGTGTGAGGATATCGTTGCCCTTGTCCAGGGCGGACCGCAGCGGCTTCCAGTAGGCTTTCCAGTACGGCAGGTCGTCGCCACCTCCACCACCGCGCTCCTCGGCGTCGCAAAGGAACCTGCCGTCGCTGCCGTCGTCGGAATCGAGCGTGAAGGACGAAGTCTGCCATTCCATCTTGTAGCTGTAGATGAATTGAGCCGGAGAGTAGCAGCGACAGAAACGGCCGAGATGGAGCAACGGCCAGGTCGGTATATCAAACAAAGCGCAGCTCGCAAGGCCACCGGCCAGGCTGGCGGGCTAGTTAGCATGTGGCTAGCCGCGGAAGGTTTGCAATGTCATGTCATTGAAATCAAGGCCGGCTGCCGGCACCGTTGTCGCGCTGGCCGGAGCCCCATTGTGATGGACAAGTGTTTACGTCTGTACCTATGTATGTATTGGTTGAGTTGTGTGAGCCAGGTGGCCACAGGCCACTGGCCTGACACCCATGCAAACATGCGACGTTGATCGCGGGGTTGTAATGTGGCGTCGTAGCTTCGTTAGCCCGTCAGGGACTGACCCACTTTCGTGTGGCTTCGCGACAAGGGCCACAGGGTGCTTCACGGCGGATAGCCACCAGTTAGTTACCTAGTTAGTACCTATGTACCTACCTTGGCCCTGAGTGCTACATAGTCGGGCTGTCCAGAAAACTTTCGCCTCGCACCTGGGCCTGCCCCCCTAATAAGCCACAAAAGCTAACAAACCCCTGGCTTTGATTGTTCGACGTCGTGTGCAAGTAAAATTGCGGAGCAAACGGGCAATAGTGGCGCCACCACGTTCGACAGGGGGTCGGCGACCATGGGCGTTGTATTAGTGAGTGGCGAGCGTGGTGGGAAGGCAGAGTAGAAAGAACGGGTTTCAAGGCTTGATATATTATGAATGCAATCATCGCTGCTTGGCAGTACACATCTTTGTCGCTCGCCCATCGTTATGGCAGCTCCCCTGTGACCGTCACCGCCACGTCTCTATCGGTTTCCCCCCGGACCTGCGCCCACCGCTCGACCTCTGCGGACCAAGGCCGAAAGCCATACCTGTGACTTTCCGCAGCTCTGCTGCCTCTTTATTCCGTCCCTGTCTCACTGTCTTGCAAGCCTTGACACTCGAGTTCGCCACGTTCCGAACTGGCAGAGTTCGCAGCGCCGCATCCCACCCAGGGCGGTCCAAACATGCCCTTCAAGCTCACCATGTCGGCGATACTACCGCCAAAGCTCAGCACCGCCCTCATTAGAAACCGTATAAGACGATACAGGCACATTTTTACCTATGTGGGCTGCATTCTATTCCTGACGGCCGCGCTGAATCTGGACCTGCTTTTCCCAACATCGCACCACATACGAGAAGTCACTGTTGCGCCACCTCGTCCCGAGCTGCCTGGCGATACATTTCCCCAGAAAATCTGGCAAATATGGAAAACAGATCCGTTATTTTTCGGAGTCACTGAAACCTCTCGGGCCATGACCTGGCTCCAGAAGAACCCCCAGATGCGCTACGAGGTCATCACCGACACCAACGACAGGACCTATGTCGAACATTTTTTTGGCCCCCTGGGATTTGGCCGCCAAGACATTGTCGATTTTTATAATAATATTCAACTGCGCATCATTAAAGCTGATTTACTACGCTATATGGTTTTATACGCCGAGGGTGGAATATATGCTGACATTGACGTCGAGGCTATCAAGCCCTTTCACCGCTTTATCCCACAACGCTTCAACGAGCGAGACTACGACCTCATTATTGGCATTGAAGTGGACATGCCTCATTTCCGCCAGCACCCCATTCTTGGCCAGAAATCGCAGTCATTCTGCCAGTGGACAATCATCTCACGGCCACAACACCCGGTCATGATGCTCCTGATTGAGACAATTATGAAGTGGTTCACAGGCGTCGCCAAGGAGCAGGGCGTCGCCATCAAGGATGTTGAGCTAGACTTTGACCAGGTCATCACAGGAACGGGCCCGTCGGCCTTTACCACTGCTGTCCTGGCGGAAATGAATAAGGCATCGGGCGGAGCAGAGATTACTTGGGACCATTTTCACAAAATGGACGAGTCCAAGGTGGTGGCGAGAGTGCTTGTCCTCAACGTCGAGGCCTTTTGCGCTGGCCAAGGGCATTCCGACTCGGGTAACCATGGCTCCCGCGGTGCACTGGTAAAGCACCACTATCACGCATCTAACTGGCCCAGTAAGCATAAGCGCTATAGCCATCCCGCGTTTGGCGCGGTGGAAGAGTGCAACTGGAACAAGGGCTGCGTGGAGCAATGGGACAAGGATGTGGCAGAGTACGAGCACCTCTCAGAAGATGACAAGAAGGCCAAGATTCTAGAGCGCCTAAAGCTTCTACAACAGCCCGCGTAGAGGAAGTCAGTATATAGTTCCTAGAATGGTTAAGTATATTTTAAGACAATACATTACTATATATTATAATAACCTTAGGCTTAGAACTAAAACTATATTTATAACTAAGCTATTTACTCTAGGGCTATATAGAGTAAATATACTAAAAAGTAGTTAAACTCTTTTTAACATTTTTTATAGATTATTAAAATAATCTAATAAACTAGGAGGATTATTAGGATTATAGAGTAAACAAAATAATCTAAGTATTAAAGTAGAGAAGAGAATAAGTATATAAAGAAAAATATTTCTAATAGATAATTATATTAAATCTCTACTAATTAATCTAAGTAATAGTTCTACTATTAAAGATATCTTTTTATTAATATATTATAATAAAATCCTTATGTTAAATAAAGTCTAATATAGTAGTCTTTTATTAGAGTTATATTAAAAGTAATATAGTATTATTATATTATAAGATTAAAAATAGTAATTTATTTAACTAGCCTAAAAGAGTTATCTAGTTTATTAATTCTATTAGGTACTCTCTTAAGTATAAGTTAGAACTATATTACTTCTAAAACGAAGATATATAAAAAGACTATAAACGCCTAATTATTGAGTTATATACAGCAAGTTTGTCCAGCGCGACCTCTTCCGCAAGGCGGACGACGAGTACATCGACGTACGCCCTGGAGAAAAGATTCCTCTGTCGAGAGCCGTGGTGGCCGTGCCAATGGACGATCCCCTCGAGGTTCACGGAGAGCCTCGGCTGCTACCATTGCTTCAACCTGGCCTTCTTCTGCCTTGTCCTAATCCAGATACGACATCATCTCTTCCTTCGTCTAGTCTCTAGAGCGTTTTCGCTCTTTTTGCATTGCTTACCCATCTGCTTCCAATCAAGGCACCAAGCAAGCTCTGCCTTGTTGTACCGCTGGGGCAAACCCATTGCCTCTCGATACTACTGGTTAGTCTTGATCCTGCCACGCGGCTGCGTGCCATACCAACCTATGTACTGTAGGTGGTGGAAATGTGGGCAGGGCGTTTCGCACGGTGAGCGCTGGGACTGTGGGTGGATCTTCGGCGGATTCCATTTATACTTCATAGAGGTTTTATAGGAGATGAATCGAATGAAGATGCATAATTAGAGAGCTCTAACTACCTAGACTGCTGTACTATCGCTCTAGCGAGCGCATACGTCCGTAGTTTAGAGCCATCGCATAAAGGGTCGACGAAAGACGACGCTATAGTTTATTATATTATACTTCTTTCTTTCTTCTATAGGCTTCTATTATTTCTTTAGAGTCTAATACTTATTTATAAAGTATCCTTTCTTATTATAATTATAGTATATTTTAGTCTTTTCTTTATTTATAGTATTAAGTTCTATTAAGTTTAAATAAGTTCTATAAACTATAAATTTATATATATATCTTTTAGTATTAGACTAGTATTACTATAAGTAGAGTCTTTAAGTCCTTTTTCCTTTTCTATATTCTAGTTTTCTAGTATAAAGTTAGTTATTAATTTTAATAACCTAATTAATAAACTTACTAAAATTATTAGATTAATTATTTTTTAAGACTTTACTCTTAACTTCCTCTTTAAGTCTATTATAAAAGAGTTCTATTTAGTTATTATTATCCTAAGTAGACTATATTATAATATAGTAGAACTCCTTTATATAATACTATATAGAGTCTATTTACTTTAACTACTTAAGTTTATAGACTACTATTTATTCTTTATTTAAATTACTAAATATAGTTTTATTTTCTTTTAAATTTACTATAGTTATTAAAGATTCTAGTTATTTATTCTTTAGGTTCTTCTTTATTAAAATAATCTTATAGGGTTAGTATAATAGTAGCTTAATCCTAATCTATAGTTAGTCTATTTCTTAAGTAGAGAGTTAGTTTAAATATATAAGTGTATATAAATAGTTATTATAGTGTAAGTTATATTAGAAAATATCTCCTAATAGTAGAATTATTACTTAAATTAATTAGTAGAGATCTAAACTACCTAACTATAGGAATACCTCTTCCTTAAGTACCTATTTATCTTTCTACTATAACTCTAGATTAAAAGGCTTATTCTTTAATCCCTTAGATCTTATCTTTAGATTAATAGCTTAATAGTTTAAATCTTTAATCCTAAGGATATTATATAACCTTCTATCTTTCTTAAGTGTTTAGTGTATTAAACCCTAGTTTATTTTACTTAGCCCTATATATAGTTATTCTATTTATAATAGTTAGTTCCTACTATTCTAATACTTTTCTTATAAGAAGGTTTTTTATATAAAGTACTTTTATTTTAGGCTTCTTAATAGTATTATTAATATATAAGTATACTTTAGCTTAGGTTAAAAAGGTTTATTTTTTTTTTAATTCTATTAAATAGATTAAGTTTAAGAAACTTAAAAAGAGTAATAACTCTAATAGTACTTAGGACTTAAAGTTAATTAAGTTTCTCTATAAGGTTATTAACCTAGTTAGTAAGTTAGATAATAGTCTACCCTAAGTTAATAGTATTACTATTAATAGTGGATATTATAGAGGTTAACTACTTAAGGTTTTAAAGTAACTTACTAAATAGGACTAATTAAAATATAATAGTAGCTCTTCTCTAATCTATAGTAAATCTATTTCTTAGGAAGTAAGTATTATAAACTAGGAATGTATATAAAGTAGTTAGGAGGCGGCCTAAGGAAGCAACTAGGTAGGAACCTATAAGTCGCCTAATTAGGATATAAGGTTATATAACTAGATTACTAAGGATTATAGTAAGCTAATAGTAATCCTATAGACATTAGGATTATAGGGATTACTAGTAATCTAGAGTAATCCTAGGAATATAGTAGAGGATAGAATAAATATATAAGGAAGGGGATTTCTAGTAGATAGCTAGACTAGATCTCTACTAATTAATCTAAGTATTAACTCTACTATTAGGAGAATATCTCTTAATATAATTTATATTATAATAATTACTTATATACACTTTATATATTTTAATTAACTCTCTACTTAAAAAGTAGACTAACTATAGATTAGGATTAAGCTACTATTATAGTAAGTTAGTTAAAATATATAATAGACTATAAATAAGTAGTATTATAGTATAAGTTATATTATAAGGTTACTCTTAATAGTAGAATTATTATTTAGATTAATTAGTAGAGATCTAGTTTAACTATCTACTAGAAATCCCCTTTCTTATATATTTATCCTATTTTCTACTCTATTACTTAGATTACTAGCTTACACTAAGGTTATAATCCTTACTAGCTTATAGTACTCCTATAAGCCTATTATAGTCACGTGACTTCCTGTCCTAATTGGGCGTCCTGTAGGCGTCCCGCCTAGCCTCCTTCTTAGGCTACTCTATATCACCCTTAACCGTTTATAATAGTAGGGTTAAGTAAGATAAACTAGGGTTTAATATACTAGCACTTAGGAAGGATAGAAGGTTATATAATATCCTTAGGATTAAGGACTTAAGCTATTAAGCTATTAATCTAAGGATAGGATCTAAAGGATTAAAGGTTAAGTCTTTTAATCTATAGTTATAGTAGAGAGATAGATAGGTACTTAAGGAGGAGGTATTCTTATAGTTAAGTAGTCTAGATCTCTATTAATTAATCTAAGTAATAACTCTATTATTAGGAGATATCTCTTAATATAACTTATACTATAATAACTACTTATTTATACTCTATATATTTAAACTAACTCTCTTCCTAAGAAATTAACTAACTATAGATTAGGATTAAGCTACTATTATAACTATATTCTACTTAAAAGTTATATATATTCTCCTTATAGTATAGATTAAAGTGTCTTTTTATATAAAGTTTAAAGGATTATATTTATAATAGTATAGTAATATTACTATTAAAGTAGTAAAGAACTCTCTTTCTATAGTCTAGTAAAAGTACACTATAGATAATATATATTTCTATAACTATATTAAGTATACTACTTAGGCTAGGGGGGATAATAGAAGAAGAACCACTAAGACTAGAGTCTAGTGTTATTACTAGCTGAGAATAGCTGACTATATAAGCAGCGAGTGGTTTAGAGTTTAACTACCCACTAGTTAGATAAATAGAATTAAGCATTAATATTACACCCTTAGATAAATTAGATCTACTTACAGTACGTTAGGGAAGCCTAACCACACTCATTCTTAACGCCTCCACTATTACACCTGTCTAGGCAGGACCAGTTATTATTTAGCTTAAATACACAGTGGGTAAGAATGGAGGCGTAGGGTTAAAACTAGGATGTAATTTAGAATAGCTTATATAAGAAGATATAGACGTAGTAAAGTATAATAAAAATATACATACTATAGATATAGAATCTTTAGATAATAAAGTAGCTATTCTAGTTTTAAATTTAGAAAGTCTATATATTACTACTAGTAGAAGCTTAGTTAAATTAGAAATAAAGAGTTAAAGCGTACTAGGCTATAAGTAAGGTAGGTTATAAAATAGTCCGCAGAACCTCTATTGCTTCTATTCTCACTCTTTCCCGTTCTTTACTTATTATACTATTACTAGTCGCTTATTTGTTCTATAGTTTGTTGTATTATTAGGCAAGCTGCGTAAAGATTAACCTAAAAAGTTAAAGCTGATTCTCTGCCTCGCGGCCCGCTTCATTAAAATCTTTCGTGTGTCGACGACTTCGTTAACGCGCGGATAAGATATTCAACCTCTCCTTACAGTATGCGTCTTCTTTTTCTAGTCTTTATTGTGTTGTAAGGCTTGTGAAACGCGCCTTCTGGTTGCCATCCGGTGTGATCCTCACCACGCCTTTGGGCACGCAAATTACGGATTGTGGCATCGGGTCTCAATTTTCCGCAGGTGGGGTAAGCTGTCTTTGTATTTGTCCAGCTCGAATAGTTCTCAGTGCCTTCTTTCAGATTACCTAGTATATGGCAGGGGGCGACACTTTTTAGGGGTATTGAAAATATGTGTCGGGCGTGGGAAGGCAATGCCAGCACGGCGCGTACAAAGTATAAATATGTACTCGTGCATTTTGCAGGCTAATGCAGCCTCCAAAGACCAAGGTGAATGAAAAGAAGCTCATTCCAGCGCTCAAGATTGCAGACACCGCTGCGAAAGGCGAAGACTCTCACAGCACTTTTCGGGACCTCTAGATATGTTGCAAGAAGAGATGACGATTTAATAAAAGCGGTTTCTGACGCCTGAGGTGAATGATGCGTCCAAGTGGTGAAGAAGCCTGCGCCGTCTCTAGGAAACTCCGTCCATGTCACATCCTGGTCAATATGGCCCCTTACGGAGTCATTACGGCAGTAAGATAAACGATTTTGGGCAAATAATGACCGTTCCCGTTCTCTTTACGTCTCGAATGGGCCTGTCAATTACCGGTACTGTACACGGGCTTTCTTACATCAAGCGCGTGTGGTAGGTGGTAGGTAGGGAGATGGAGAGGGGCGACTTTCTGATGACATAAGCACCCAGCTTCCGCCAAAGACACATGTCAGTTAGTTGACAGCTGTTCGAGGAAGGAGGAGCTATTCAGCCGCTCGAATGTACATACAGAAACTGCTGAGAGGATGAAAGAAAGCTCTCCGAACTCCATTTAGTGCCTCCCCGTTGAGCAGCCCTCTCTGACGCTTGGGATCTACTAAGGAGACAGTTTAGTTGAGCTTGTTCACCAGCAGATTGTGCTGTGGCGATAAGATGACGGTGTGCAGGCAAACAACCGCTGCTCCCGTTAACTGGCATCCAAAACAACTTCGTCCATTACCCGCGCTCCTTGCGTCACACTAGTGAGCGGATGCATGGAGGCCAGCTTCTGACGACAGAAGCACCCGTCTCCCGCTCGAGACATATGTCAACAAGCCGACACTTGCTCTAATTGATGAGTCAACGTTTCTTTCAGGCGGGGATCTGTCCTCACTGTAGCCGCCGACCGGCGCGTCAAATTCCGCAAGAGCCGTATCGGCCGCTGTGTCGGGTCGGATGTAGACTGAGTCAACCACAGGCACCACCAGCCTTAGACCGGTCTCGAGGCAGATGGCGGGCTGATCGGCTCGACTTTTGTGGAAGGTCCACCCTAACATCAGAAAGTAATATGACGGCAAATCGAAATGGACGAGCTGCTTTGTCCACGATCATTGTCAGTTGCGCATTCTGCCCAGCCGCTGCAGTTCAGTACCGATACACCAATAGGCTTAATGTTCCCGATTATGCCGCCTAGCCTAAGTCGGATAAAGTCCCTCTGGGAGGTACATAGATTGGTTGATGGGCTTTAATGGCGAGTGTCTCCCGCATGGCGTTTGACGCGTGCATGCGTCGTTGGTAGTTGCATCGGTGCTGAAGCCGTGGACAGGTGTGGTGAAATGGGCTGTGGGACACGGAATCGGACCGAAGCCCGCGTAGGACATGGGATCCTGCAAAAACTAGTATGGTCTGTTATACCTGTGTAGGCATAGACCACGATGATGGTAGCAAAAGACGAAGAGATTGTTACTCGGTTATTAACACAAGCAGACTTGCCTTTCTCTATTTGTGATTATTTATTCTTTTTTGGGACAATCTTCTCGTATGCGGCGGGTCGTATGACCTACCAGCCACGGATACGGCGCCGGAAGGACGCTAGGCTACGGAAGGACGCCAGGCTACGGAAGGACGCCAGGCTGCGGTTTCCAGCACCGTAGCTGCTGGGCAATTCGACCTATTGGCGCGAGGTCTCCCCAAGTCCTACGACATAGATGCAAACAAACATATTGCCGGTATACACTTTTTCAAGGAGGTTTTATTGAAGAAAGGAAAGATTTGTAGAGCAAAAACCTGGGCATGGGGTCGCTATAAAGTAGCTTGTGCGCTGTGCCAGCAACAAATCCGACGATGTGCAAGACATTCACTAGAGTCTCGTATGAGAGCCTGCGTGAGAAGGTGGCACTCGAGCCTGGATGGTGTTTTCCCTCAAATTCAGCCAATCAGTGGCTCGTGCGGTGTGTGCAGCTTTCTCGTACGAGCGCTTACGCAAGAGGTTTGTGCTGTGTGCGCAGCTTTCTCGTATGAGAGCCTGCGCAAGAGCGTTGACGCTCGCACAACTACTGTCGCGCTCTGCGCTCGGCTTCCTCTACTCCTACTACGTACTCCACGCTGCTCTCGCATAACTGAGACTTCGCTGTCTGTGAGTAAAACCGAGGCTGCCCAGCTGATACAAGCATCGGTGGTCTTGTCAACACAACCATACTCAGCCACACGAAGGCCCGACTAAGGAGCCACACGAAGGCCCGACTAAGGCACTGCAGTCTACGGAAGCCTTCCATAATCCGCCGAACAGGATCTCAATATACCAAGTCCGTTTCTTTCTTTTCTCTTGCCCACATGAAGTTGTTTTGCGGCGTCATAGGTGGTCTTTTGTTTTGACCTTCCTCATCTCGTGATGCCATCATCTGGGGCGCATAATTGGCCTGAAAGATGCTGCCCCTACCGCTAGCCTGTGCAGTACAACAAAAGTATTTACCTTGGCACTTCTGATCGACCAGTGCGCTGTCGCTCAGTTTACAGCGTTAGCCTTCAGCTTGCCATCGGACACAGAATGCTAGTGCCTATCGGGCTAGCTCAATTCTGCCAGGCCACACAGCTCCGTGCGGCAAATTGTTCACCCGACCGCCAGTAACAAGGCTAAAATCATAGAGCAAAGAAGCTTGCAGCGCATGTATTCCTCCAGCATGCCACGCGAAAATGAAGTCATCTCGTACGATATCAACAAAATCGCTGCCCTCTGGGCCATCCGCCACTTTCAGATCGTCGTCGTTCTTTTTGAAAAATGGTAAAAATGCCGCATTTCCCACGCCTTTGGAGATATTTGCAAGGAGCGCTGCTCAAGCACCATCTTACCAAGACTGCAAGGAACGCCCACCAGTTCGGTTCGAAGAACTCGGCCTACTTGTGAAGTTCGGAAGCGAGCCGAAGGTTACCATCGCCGAGGGACAGTGCCTCTGGGCATTATGGCACGCTTTGCCCAGCGTTCCAGTTCCTGAAATATACGGCTGGGCTCAGGACGGCAATCTAACTTACCTGTTCATGGAACTTGTATCTGGCATCACACTGGAGAATATGTGGTGCGCTCTATCGCGCTTAGAGCGAACTCAGATCTGTACAGAGCTACAATTTATGCTCAAGGAGCTACGCTCTCTTCGACAAGAAACGGGCCAGCACTTCCTTGGTACGTTCATTATGCTACCGAAACACCGTCTTGCTACTGACACTGCAAGGCCATATAAATCGCGACCCACTCTCCGACATAGTTTTTACGAATGGTGCTCTGCCACGCGCTGGACCTTTCACAAGCGTGAAAGAGTTTCATGACTGGCTTTCCGCAATGTTGACATCAGGGAAAGGTGAGCACTGGCCAGATATCGAACCCACTGATATACCTGATCCATACCGACAATACCTACCGGACGACGCCGATGTCGTTTTCACGCACTCCGACCTTCATCCTAGCAATATTATTATATCTCAGGAAAAGCCCCATCGTGTCGTCTCCGTCATAGACTGGCAGCAATCTGGATGGTATCCAGACTATTGGGAATTCTGCAAAGCCGAATATACAGCTGAGCCAGACTCGGAGTGGGTGCAAGACTATATACCACAGTTTCTGAACCAGCCAGAATGCGTGGAAGCCTTCGAGCTGTATGCTCACGCTTTCGGCTTCTGATAAATCTACAGCGTATTTGTCTTGTGGGAGGTGGGAGACAGGCTCTGATTTGAGGACAGTAGTGACTCCGGTCGTATGGTGTTTCTCTTGGCAAGCTTTGCTACTAAAATTCGGTTCAAATCTTCCAATCTCTTCTAGTGTTATTGAGTCTGGCATACAACCCTCCTCAACTTCGCCTGCAAGCCCAACGACTGGTCTACTCCGTCGAAGCCGTCCCAAGAAGGCTAATAGCCGACTGATCCATTGCGCCCAAATCGACCAAGTATTGAACAAAGTTCCAAGCCCAAGTTTGACAGTTCTCCCCCTGGACACTTCGATTAGTCACTGTAACATCACAAGACGCCTCTGTTAGGGCAGCTTCTCTTACAGCAAATGGGTCCAGTGGGGTTGGACTCTTCCCTGGAGCGGGAATTGAGTGGGCGGTAGCGTCAAGGGAGCCTAACCATGCCTCATCCATGTAGCCTAGAAGAATAATTGTATGGCGTCTCCTCGTCGCAGCGAGGTTGTAGTCTCGCTTGATTTCGGCGTGGTAGCCATGGAATGGGGAACCCACGGCATGGTATACGGCTCCCTCCTGTTTGGCTTCACGATCAGTGATCAGAATAGCCCAGTGCGCAGGGGCACGTCTTCGCCCTTGGTCATGGTAGATAACCAAATACACATAAAGGACCATTTTGGGTAGTAGAAGTGTGCGCTGATTAGTGTTTTTTTTTTGCGTTAAGAGCTTTAGAGCAAATCTCTGAATAGATTTCGGGACTGTGCTTTGTATCGAGAATCGCTTCTGGCCAACGTTGGGTCTTCAACAGCTGGATGTGCCTTTATAGTCCAAATCTTGACATTAAGGACAAATAGTCAGCGCTAAATGAAACTTAAATAGTATTACAGGGCGACAAGAACCATGCTGTTGTGAGGTATATAGAACGGCAGCATTGTAATATAGCTGCACAACAAGAATAGCTTTGCAGCTCCCTGCAGGATTTAGGCGCTGGATGGTACTGCAAAAGCTCTCCGCGTGGGTGCTAGCGTGAGGAGTATGGCAAGGTGACGGGCGCTTTAAATAGTCACTTTTGACTTCAAATGTTGGCTTCGTTTCGGTTCGTATGCATTAGTCAGGGTGACCAATGCGAGGCTCTTTATGAGCCCGCTCGTTGGAACTATGTATCTGCACAGCGACGCACCAGCTATACCGAATGTAGATGAGCCACAAGACACGGAAGCGGTTTTGGGGGGCCACGGTATGGGTCCCTACTTGCAAAATCCTCCCGCCGACAGGAAAAGGTCTTGTGCCTGTAATTCAATTGCGGGCGGCTCGACAGCCAGGTAACCATAACTTTCTCGTACCCATGCATGGATGGAGAATAATCCCTGAGTGTGCTTCGCCACCGCAGACTCTGACAGCGGCCCGTCCACCACGGCGCAGTAGTGAACAGGGAACTTTCAGGCTGTTAGTTGATTGGACCTGGAAACTGCAAAGTGGCTATTGATGCAGCGGCGCATTGTGAGGCGATTTTGCGTCGCAGCCCCCCCGGCCCTGCCCTCTGGCCACCCAAGACAAAACCGCTCGACCACTAAGAGTGACAGCGGCTACCAGTTGGCTTGTATCTTCTGCGATCGATATGAAAAGCAGGACTATTCGTTTGGTCCCTTCCTTTGATTAGCGCCGGACACTTGGTAGGGCACATGCTCTGAGGTCGCTACGCGCTCATACCCGCTATCCACTCTAGCCTCGTCACCTCGCAGTACACTTGCATCATATGGCCAGAAAGCAGAGCAGTAACTGGGTGTGTCGTATATTTTAAGCGCTCTACCGTAACCCTTCGTCAACCGTGAACGCCATGGGCTATCCACCCCTCTCCTAGAGATGTATCCCGCGGAGATGATGTTCCAGAAAGACGCTCAACCAGTATCTGTTATAACATATACGTTAGTATGGCGCTTTAGGTACAAAAGAATTCCAAAGGTAAACAGGAGACATGACAGTATGAATTGACCATAGGCAGTAAAAAACCCCGGCGGTTTATTACCGCCAACCCCCGGTGGTGAACTCATGGCAAATATGTCAGTTTCATTTAGCGCCCGTTATCAGGGGCTGAAAGCATGTCTGATTGATTGGCAGCAGCTTTTCGAAGATGAATGTGGGCCCGCTGGGAATCATACTGTGTCCGAAGAAACTGTAACCAGTTACTAGGTGCCTGCATTATGTTATACGTGAGACCGAAATGTATCACAGCACCAGCACTCCGCCGTGAATCGGTTGTACAATATGGCGCCCCGCAAATTTGCAGAGCATCCGTCCGTGGGAGGCTTCCGTACTGTTCTAGTTGGTGCTCTAGGCCCGGCCTACGGAGGTGGCCGCGACCTGACACGCTAACGCTTAGAGGTCACTACGCGCCCTGTGAAGCCCATAAGCAATGGCTTCGTAAATGCATCCATCATAATAATCACTTCTGTGATAAAAAGTTTACCTTTAACGAGGTGCTAAGAGAATGTACCTAATTAAGAAGAAAAAGAACTTATATAAAAATAATTTCTTTAAGATTATCTACTGCTAGTCCCTAAAAACGTTTATATGGCTATAATAATAGTATAAACCCGAATGAACTTTAATAGGAAGACCTCCTAACCGCGTAACGCTAATGCAAATAAGGCTCCTACCTAATATAGGGAATTAGGTAACCTTATGTACTAGTAAGATACGACCGGCATTATCTTTTCTCCTCTCTTGTAGTTTACGTTTCTACCTCTTAAGTAATAATGGCCTAGTTATTACGAATGCTGTAAGACGTATAGGCGGGGCTGAGTGAGGTAAGGCGAAGGCTTATCACACTAGCCACTAAAAAGGATAGGAGATTATGTAATCTCCTTAGGATTAAAGACTTAAGCTATTAAGCTATTAATCTAA